TTGCCCAGTAATCTACCAGAATTTTTAAAGTTTTTCTTCTCCACTAAGTTGCTGAGTTTGGGGTCAAAAATTGTCAAATCCAGCCATTTTATATGCCTAAACCTAAATGATTTCCCATCTCATAGGATCTTTGACTCGAAGGTAAAATGAGATCACAGAGATTTAAATCTTGTAGAGGGATCTGAAACATCATATAAACGGAGTGTGTTGTTATCTACTTACTTTAACAGGGAAAACTATGTGCTAAATTCAAGTTAATATTGTCACTATCTTGATGTTTCAGTGGAGAAAACTGTTGCTTAGTGGAAGTTAAACTATTTAACTGTTTACAGTATGTTTTGCCTCTTAATATTTTGGGATTTGGTATGCAGGACCAGAAATTGATCGCTCAGATCTAGTAAGTCTACCTGCAATGCATGGCTTTAATCGTAGTGGAATTTAGCCTGTTTCAGAAACATAATTTAATTGAAAATTATTTCATTTTATTTTATCAGAATTACTAAAATAATTTTCAGTCAGGCGGGTCACTGTCACACCTGTAATCCCAGCGTCTTGGGAGACTGAGGCCAGTGGATCATTTGAGGCCAGTTCGAGACCAGCCTGACCAACATGGTGAAACCCTGCCTCTACGAAAAATACGAAAATTATCCAGGTGTGGTGGCACACACCTGTAGTCCCAGCTACTCAGGAGGCTGAGATGTGAGAATCACTTGGACCAGGGAGGTGGAGATTGCAGTAAGCCGAGATCATACCACTGCACTCCAGCCTGGGTGACAAAGTGAGACCCTGTCTCAAAAAAAAAAAAAAAAAATTGAGTTGTATATGATGTAACTCAATGTGTATGGAAACTAAAGTGGTTATATAATATCTGTAATGAAAGCTCCTTCTGTGTGAATGTTTTTTGTGGTTTTAAAAAAGGAGCTAGCCAGTGCTTCCTAGCAATATTTTTCTTCTGAAACATCAAAGACAGTATTCTGTCATGTAATGTTTTCAGTCTTTGTCAGGCCAAATATTTCTTATGTAATCTAAGTAGAATGTGCCATGTAGTGGCTAGAGAGCTGAGAGTTTTTGAAGTCCTATCAGCAGTTTATATGACCTAAAGAACATCTTATTAACTGTGAGAGATATATTTTCTACACTCTGGTTGGCTTATCATTGCGACTAAAACGAAGTGGCAGTCAGCTGTCCCTGACTTGAACATCAGTAGCTGTATGGAATTTCCTCCTGGGCCGTTTACTCCACCATTCTTTTCTTCTCCCCCTAGCTTTGATGGCCTTTCTGTTTGACCTGAAGGCGCTTGTGGACATGATGTCCATTGGCACACTCATGGCCTACTCTTTGGTGGCAGCCTGTGTTCTCATCCTCAGGTGAGTCACCCGGTGGTTCTAAGGGGCGTACCATGCATGGGGGACTCTGGGAGTGAGAAAATGAGCCCTCGCTCTCCTGGCTTCCAGGGAGCCGGCAGTCTCACCAAGGTGAGAAGTCACATCTGTCAAAATAGTAATGAAAAGTAGAAGAAGTGTATCAGGTCTGTAGCAAAGAATGAAATGCAAGTTGACCTCAAGTGATAGGTTGGCCTAATCTACGTGAAAGGCCATTTCTCATAATGTCTAAAGACACTTAAAAATGCTGTGCTTTTTGTTCCATTAATTCAGTTGTTAAAATTTTTGTGCTAAAGATTTAACCAGAGGCGCACATAGATGTATGTAGAGGATGTTTTTGGAAAAGGTAATTTACAACAGTGAAAAAATGAAACTAACCTGAATATCACTAGAGGAATGGTTAAATAAATGAGGCTACATTTATTCACTGAACTCTTCTACAGCAAATAAAATGGTATTTAATTTTATGGAGAAATATATCCATTTGAGGATATAAAACTACAGTATATGTAGTGTCTGAACTGTCTCAAATAATAAATTTACATGGAGAAATCATATATGCCTGTATAGCCATTATATGCCTGGGTGAAATTGTACCAAAGTGCTAACAGTGATTAACACTGGCTGGTAGTATTATGGCTGGTTTTGAATTTCTCCTGTATGCTTTTGTGCATTTTTTCTCAGTGAGCATATTTCTTTATATGGAGGGAAAACGTTACTTTCAAATATAAGTAAAGGCTGCCCAGAAGGAGAAGAGGCCACACTGAAAAGCCTGGGGCAGACACTAGGAGGAGAAGTAGGCTTGTATTAGTCCATTCTGACACTGCTAGTAAAGACATACCCAAGACTGGGTAATTTATAAAGGAAAGAAGTTTAATTGACTCATGGTTCCGCAGGGCTGGAGAGGCCTCAGGAAACTAACAATCATGGTGGAAGGGGAAGCAAACATGTCCTTCTTCACATGATGGGAGGAAGGCGAAGTGCTGAGCAAAAAGGGGAAAAGCCCCTTAGGGCATGGTGGTGGGCACCTGTTGTCCTAGCTACTCAGGAGGTTGAGGCAGGAGAATCACTTGAACCCAGGAGGCAGAGGTTGCAGTGAGCTGTGATCACACCACTGCACTCCAGCCTGGGCAATAAGAGCGAAACTCCGTCTCAAAAAAAATAACCAAACAAAACATGAAAAACCATCAGATCTCATGAGAACTCACTTGCTATCACAAGAACGGCATGAGAGTAACCACTGCCATGATTTTTGAATTACCTCCCACTGGGTCCCTCCCACAGCACCTGGAGATTGTGGGAACTACAATTCAAGGTGAGATTTGGGTGGAGACACAGCCAAACCATGTCAAGGCTGATGTCTTGATATAGGTTATACAGGAGGAGGATAAAATAATAAAGGACAATGGCATGCAATGGGTGTAGACGTGGCAGGATGGTCAGATGAGCTTGTCTTGGTTTAGCTAGAAGAATCAGTAGGGAAGGATGAGGCCAGAAAGACAGATTGTGATGAGGCCTTTGAAAGCCAAACTGGTGACTGCATTATTTTATAGCTGAAATTTACCCAGAGTTTCTGTGCTGTTTTCATGAACCGCATTTCCTTTGGACATAGATAATTTCAGAATAATCATCCTTTTATTGTGATTGCCTTACTTTACAGTTTCACTTTCTTTTGCCGTCTAATATATGACTCTGATTAGGTAACTCCTGGGGGAAATTTGGGTATTTTGCTGCAGATGTTTTCTCGAAAAGGTTTGTGGCCTGGCTCAGCATGCTCTGGGACTGGAGTCATAAGTGTTGATTTACTCTACACACTATCACTCTGTATGATGTCTTCCTTAAGGCTTTAGGTGCTGGTTTCACTTGGGCCAAATGTCTGTTTGAGAATAAAGACATAGATGTCTGTTTGGGAATAGGTACCAGCCTGGCTTATCTTACGAGCAGCCCAAATTTTCTCCCGAGAAAGATGGTCTGGAATCATCTCCCAGGGTAACCTCGAAGAGTGAGTCCCAGGTCACCATGCTGCAGAGACAGGGCTTCAGCGTACGGACCCTCTTCTGCCCCTCCCTTCTGCCGACACAGCAGTCAGCTTCTCTCGTGAGCTTTCTGGTAGGATTCCTGGGTAAGTCGTCTTCTCTGCTCACATTGTACAGACCCAGATGTGTGTGGGTAGAGCTGGCGTGATGTGAAAGAGAACAGAGAGCCTCACATTGCCCTAGAATATATTAGCAACCACCCTGAAATTTTCACCTAAAGCATCACCAGTCGTCGAGATCATCTTTATATTACCTGTATATATTTATTGCATCTTGATAATTGAACAAAAGAGGAAGGAATACTTCAAGACGAGAGTGACAGAAGTACAAACTGGCACATTCGTTAGAGGTTAGGATGCCCTCTGGGTGAAAGCATCAGGCTACGTACCCGTGCCAGTAACTTGACTGACTGGAACCCGATGGAATTGTCCAATAATATAGGACATCCTTGTTTTATGTAACACACAGTTACGTAATCATTCATGTTTTCAGTGACATTTATAAAATGTCGCCTGTGTGCTGGGTACTCCACTGGGCACCTGGGATGCCAAGAGAGGCGGTCCGTACTCTCACTGGGCTTTACAGGACAGGATGATTGGTGGCAAGTAGGAAAGCACAGGCTTCTCAGAGCAAATAAGAGGTGCCCCTAGAGCAGAATTGATGGTCAGAGATGGGGTGGTGATGTCATTCTCCGAAACAAGGAGAAAAGATGCAGATGATATATTATTTGTGTACGTTAACAGTCTGTATTAGTCTGTTCTCATGCTGCTAATAAAGACATACCTGAGACTGGGTAAATTATAAAGAAAAAGAGGCTTAATGGACTCACAGTTCCACATGGTTGGGGAGGCCTCACAATCATGGTGGAAGGTGAAAGGCACATCTTACACGGCAGCAGGCAAGAGAATGATAACCACGCAAAAGGGGTTTCTCCTTATAAAACCATCAGATCTCATGAGACTTACTCACTGCCATGAGAACAGCATGGGGGAAACTACATACTGTTCAATTATCTTGCACCGGGTCCCTCCCACAACACATGGAAATTATGGGAGCTACAATTCAAGATGAGATTTGGGTGGGGACACAGCCAACCCATATCACAGTTCATGTTTGCAACAGCTTAAAATAACCAGATGTGCCATTTCCCATTTGAAAAAAGGGAAATATCCACCCCTGATAGCATCCTCGTCTGAAGGTAACCAGTGAGGACACAGATGGCACGCGGGCAGATAATGCAAGTCAGTAACACCAAGAGGGGCGGTTGGCTTCTAAGGAGGGGAAAGTAATGAGTAAATAAGCAATGGTTCTTAAATCCATGCAACTGGACATCTCTCTTCTCCATGAAAAAGAAGAAAGAGCAAGGCGAAGACTCTTTGTATTTAGCCAAGTAGATGTGTACAGAACTCAATGTTTTATCAGAACATACTGTATTGCACCAAACAACCTGGGTGGAGCGCGGTATGCTGACTGTGTTATCTACACATCCCCCCTGCAGCTTTTCTCGTGTTGGGCCTGAGTGTCTTGACCACTTACGGAGTTCACGCCATCACCAGGCTGGAGGCCTGGAGCCTCGCTCTCCTCGCGCTGTTTCTTGTTCTCTATGTTGCCATCATTCTCACCATCTGGAGGCAGCCCCAGAATCAGCAGAAAGTAGCCTTCATGGTATGTGTAATGAGGATCAGAGACCCAAAATACTGTGTTCATTTTCTCTGTATAATTAGTTTGATGTATTTTTTCTTTTTTTTTTTTGGAGATGGAATCTCTCTGTCGCCCAGGGTGGTGTGCAGTGGAGCGATCTCGGCCTCCTCTGCCTCATGCGTTCAAGCACTTCTCCTGCCTCAGCCTCCCCAGTAGCTGGAATTACAGGCATATGCCACCACACTCAGCTAATGTTTGTGTTTTTAGTAGAGACCGGATTTCACCATGTTAGCCAGGATGGTCTCAAACTCCTGACCTCAAATAATCCACCCACCTCCGCCCCAAGAGGTGCTGGGATTTTACATATGAGCCACCCTGCCCTACTTATTTTTGTGTTTTTGTGGCGATGGGGTTTTGCCACATTGGCCTGGCTGGTCTCAAACTTCTGACCTCAGGTGATCTGCCTGCCTCAGCAACTCCTAATGTGGTTAGCCAGTGAATGAGAGTGTCAGAATGCTTCGATACGTTCCTTTTTGTACAGAATTCCTTCTACATTGGTCCTCTTACTGCCTTTTCAAAAACTTGGGTATGTTCCTATGACAATATTATTATATATAATGGTAAACAAATTTCATGTTAAAAGAAGTTGTAATATCAGAAAAGTAGGGTGAATATTTTTAGAAATTCACTGCCCTCTCCTAAGGACTTTGTTCCCACCAAAAGCCCTTCCTCTGGGGCCGGGTGTGGCGTCTCACACCTGTAATCCCAGCACTTTGAAAGGCCAAGGCAGGAGGATTGCTTGAGGCCAGGAGTTCAAGTGCAGCCTGGGCAACATAGTGAGACCCCATCTCTACAAAACAAACACATTAGCTGCGTGTAGTGGCTCATTCCTGTAGTCCTAGCTAGTCAGGAGGCTGAAGTGGGAGGATCACTTGAACCCAGGAGTTCATGGCTGCAGTGAGCTGTCATAGTATCACTGCACTCTAGCTTGGGTGACAGAGTGAGACACTGTCTCCAAAAATAAAATAAAACTAAATTAAACATTAAGAAGATAAGCTCTTCCACTGCGAGTTAAACTATCCTGTCCCATTGGCGCTAACAGTATACTGGCTTGGGCTTGTAAAGGGCTTCCTGGAAGGATGTACCTGGGATAACCATATGTATCCCGCATTTCAGAGGTATCCCCTGTGTGTGTCTAAATTATTTTGACAGTGCAGGTGTTACTGAATCTTACAAATCCCCTGTTGCCTTGAGCTTTAGTAAATACTCTTAAGATGTGATTCTCCTTTTATGGTCTCTAGAAGCGTGGTTTTAACTGTGACTGAGGTAGTGCGAAAGTATATATGCCGAATTAATTGCCGCATTGTTGAAATATGCTTCAAAATATGAGTATGTTCAAAAGGATTGTTTTCCCCCTTAGGTTCCATTCTTACCATTTTTGCCAGCGCTCAGCATCCTGGTGAACATTTACTTGATGGTCCAGTTGAGTGCAGACACTTGGATCAGATTCAGCATTTGGATGGCAATTGGTAGGTCTTTTAATGTTAGGTTCTCTTTCCTATTTTATGTGCTGTGATGAGAGAAATGCACCCTCTCCCCCATCCTGGGAATAAAAGCTTTTTTCCCCCCATTTCTTTCTTTCCTGATTCTTAGGGATGTCTGAGTGCTTTTCCAGATGTTTTCAGATGCCTTTTTAAATCAGTATCTCCCACTAACCCTGCAGAACCACGTCGGCTCTATTTCTTTCAACTTATGGGTGAAAAAAATGAAACCCAGGAAAAGTCATTTTACATCAACCGAAAACTCACAACGAATCTTCTAAAATAGAACTAAAACTGCAAAATGCGTACATGTCTGCAGTGATCTTAGGAGAGTACTTAAAACATTGCCTCCCGATCCCCACACAGTGTGGCTGTTAATAAACAGTTGCTTTGCAGACAGTTCTTTGGATTCTCCTGGTGACAGTGACACGTGTAAGGCATATCTGTGTCCCCTTAGTTAATACAGGGCGTACTTTCCAAAATACCTGACCTTGACTCTGATAATTCATCACTTGTATTTAGGGTATAGTTTGAGACTTTATTCCACATATCATTTTGTTTACAGTATTGACTTTTAAGAACATAAATTCGAAACCAGCCTGGCCAATATGGTGAAACCTTGTCTCTACTAAAAATACAAAAATTAGTCGGATGTGGTGGCGCACATCTGTAATCCCAGCTACTCTGGAGGCTGAGTCTGGAGAAACTGAACCCGACAGGCAGAGGTCACAGGGAGCCGAGACTGCACCACTGCACTCCAGCCTGGGCAACAGAGCGAGCCGCTATCTTAAAAAAAAAAAAAAAATTACTGGGTGAACTTGTACAGTCTCCTAGCATTTCCCTGTCACCAGGAGATTTAGGACTCAGGGACACAGTGGCTCCTTTTGAGAACCACATGGAAGGAATCCACTCTGCTACAATAGAGTGAGGCCTGGGCATGGAAAACCCACTTACCCCTACCAGAAGTTAGGCTGGTAATTGTAGGGATCACATCCATATTGTTAGACTCTCATTATTACTAAATTAGGGAACTCAGGAAATTATTGGGACTGGTTTCATTTGCGCCTTTAAAATGCAAAGTGAGGGCCAAATGCGGTGGCTCACACCTGTAATCCCAGCGTTTTGGGAGGCTGAGATGGGCGGATCACCTGAGGTCAGGAGTTCGAGGACAGCCTGGCCAACATGGCGAAACCCCGTCTCTACTGAAAATACAGAGATTAACTGGGTGTGGTGACAGGCGCCTGTGGTTCCGGCTGCTCAGGAGGCTGAGGCAGGAGAATCGCTTGAGCCCAGGAGGCGGAGGATGCAGGGAGCCAGGATTGCACGACTGCACTCCAGCCTGGACGACAGAGTGAGACTCTGTCTCAAAAACAAAAATAAAAATGAAAAGCAAAAGTAAATGCAAAGTTAGGAGAAAAAACAAGTAATCCCAAATATGTATTCAGTGAGTTGTAGTGTGAATGACATTTCATGATTTACATATCCGGAATATTCTGGAATCAGCCTCATTTCTTCTAATTTGATTCTTCTTAATAAAGGCAAATCAGGAAATTTAAAAAAAAAACATAAATTAAAATTTTTCCATATAAACATTGAAAAACTTGTTGAGAGCAAAATACAATCTATAAAGTTTGGGTCTTAACAATAGAGAGGCACATTCTACCAGGAAAATATTGATCAAGGACATCTTCTGTGGGGTATGTTGTATTTGCATTTCATTCTTCTAAAGCAGCGGTCTCCAACCTTTTTGGCACCAGGGACAGGTTTTGTGGAAGACAGTTTTTCCATGGACAGGGTTGGGGGTGGGTTTGGGATGAAACTGTTCCACCTCAGATCATCAGGGATTAGATGGATTCTCATAAAGAGCACGCAACCTAGATCCCTCACATGTGCAGTCCCTTCTATGAGAATCTAATGCTCCCTGCTCTGACAGGAGGCGGAGCTCAGGTGGTAATGTTAGCAATGGGGAGTGACTGTAAATACAGATGAGACTTTGCTCGCTTACCTCCTGCTGCTTGGCCTGGTTCCTAACAATAGTGGTCTGTGGCCTGGGGTTTGGGGACTCCTGTTCTAAAGTACTACAGAAAAGAAAGAGAAAAACTCTGAAGTTCTACGTTTAATTCTCCACCTCTGTAACTTAAAAGTCATTTTCTGACATACCTGAAACCTTGATTTTTTTTTCCCCACCCCAACAGGCTTCCTGATTTACTTTGCTTATGGCATTAGACACAGCCTGGAGGGTCGTCTGAGAGATGAAAATGATGAAGAAGATGCTTATCCAGACAACATTCATGCAGCAACAGAAGAAAAATCTGCCATTCAAGCACATGACCATCACCCGAGAAATGTTAGTTTACCTTTCATATTCCATGAAAAGACAAGCGAATTCTAACACTTGCAGGAGCAGAGCTGGTCATCGTGTTAGCATACATATCCTACGCTGAGTAAACCGTGACCGGATGTCATCAGCATGCTAGTTTATCATGGGTTTGCTGCATACATAGTTCACCCTAATTTATACTTACTCATCTGGACAGCATCTCCTCAGATGGTGAATTACATGCCCGAGGAAACCTTCTGAGTGGAGGTTTCATTCATTAGTAATGAACAGCCCCCAAACAGTGGGAGTATGTGTACGTTTGTGTGTATGTATGTATCTATGTATATGCTTGGGAACATGAGTGTTAAAAGTTAGCTGGTATTTTACTATTACTGTGTTACATTTTTCCGGTGTCATCATTAATCGGTGGCATATACTGCACATACTGAAATAGAGGTAAATCACTGAATGTAAAGAGGTTTCGTCTATGCGCCCTGCAGTTGGGGAAATACTAGTAGCTTCACCTTGTTTGACTTCATTAATGTCAGTTTAGGGGATGCCAGAAATACGGTTACTCATCATGGTGTCTGTCACTGGTTAGGGGTAAGATGAGGGGATAAGGAAAGAGCCTTTTCAATAAGTTGTGAGTGCCAACAGTGGGTTTAATGCAGTTTTTTTTTTTTCCTATGAGGCATGACAGTTTGCTCAAACCTCAGCCAATAGGGTGTCTGCTTCTGCTGCACTACACAGGCCAGGAGTGGCATTCCATGTCACTAGCTGGCCTCCCTTTGAACTTTGTCTCCTTTGCAAACAGTGGTCCTAAAATGTGAGGTCTTCACTTGATGTGAATGACATATCCTCAGTCAGGGACTTAAGAGAGGCACTGTGACTTACTTGGGACCCTTGCAATTAAAAGGTGAAGATGGTCACCATGGCCAGAAAGCTCATGCAGTGGCCGTAATGAGAATATGTTTGAAGATCAGAGAGTTAGACCAATGCTTGAATAAGCAAACCCCAAGCATCCCTTTCTAAAAAGTCACTTAAAATAAGCCAACAGACTCTCCCAGACCACACAACTCGTGGAATGATTCATCCTTTTTCCATTACTTCCTTAATCACAGTTTAGTTATTTTCTTATCCTCGTCAGGCACAGAGTTCGCTTCTTTGTTTCTGTTTCTTTTGTCTTTTCCTAGAGATGAGGGCCTGCAGCAGCATCATGCAAAGAGGGAAAGACAAAGGGAAAGAAGAGAAAATCCCCCTGTTGTGATATGAACATGCCTATTCCAGTATTAAATGGCATCTGGCCCAATTTAAGGACTTTGGATTCAATTTGCCTCTGATGTTTCTTTTGGAAACATTTAGGAATGTTTTCCTCCCCCTACTCCATAAATTGTTTAGCACTTTTTATTCCATTTGCTTTCAAATGACCACACTAAGCCCGTTAACACAAGCTCCCGTGTTAAATATAATAACCCATCAGTGATTGGGGAATCAAATATTTTGGTTAAAAAAACACGGTTATTTAAAACTCTAAACTAAAAAAAATTAATCAAATTGAATTAAAGCTATATAAACACAGTTACCCTTGTAAATGAGCAAATAAATTTTTCCGTGTAAGATTCTCTCATTGTTATATTTTACTTTTTAGGCTTCCCTAATAGCGGACTATTTATTTGCAGTGTGTTTTGCTTCTCATGAACTATTTTTTGTACAAATCATTAAACAGTTAATTGGATGAGGCTGGGTGACATTTCCCGGGACACCGTGGCGAACATTACCAAGCATGCTAGCTGACCCACATAATCCAAAGGCAAGGAAAACATTTGTTTTCCTCATGGGTCTTCCAAGAAATCAGCTATTTTATTGTTGCCATTAGAAAGCAAGTTGCAGTGGTTTTCTATAGCCAAGAGTTTATTGTGATTAAACATCAAACAGGTAGAAAGCCTGGGTTTCTGGCTGCTAGTGTTACAGCATCCGTGACACAGAACTCATTACGGACATTCCACAACTTCCAGGGTGCACATGGTAAAATCTGAAGCCCAGAATTTTCTCTCAAGCTGCGTGTTTTACTGGAGAGAAGGAGTTGGATAAGCACAGCATCGGATATTTTGGTAGGAGCTGTAGGCATGCTCAGAAATCCTTGCTGTTGTCACAGTACACTAAAAACATGTTTGATTCTATACTCAATCTAGAGTAGGCCCTTCACGCAGGAAATGTGAACAATTGTTATATATGAACACTCAAATCTTTTACTGTAATGCAATCAAGAAACTTGTTTAGAATGTGATAGGCAGCTAAAACTGTTAGGCCCACTGTGCTCAATTTGAAGCGGAATTCGGTGAAAAATTATTTTTCCACATTGAAACACTTTGCAGACACAAATATCTATGAAAAAATGCTTTGTCAGCCACTGTGCCTTTTTTTCTGTGAAGACTCAATGGATGTGTGTGTTTGTATGTTAACAGTTACGTATGTATGTGAGTGTATAGGTATCTGTGTGTGTGTATTTCAAACGTCAGTGTATCAGTAAGTTGGGTTTATGGTGGGCTTTGGCTATATCATTATGTGGGTACCAAACCCAACTGCTGTGGAGAAAAATTAATGTTTGATGTTGATAGATATGCTTATACCTAATTTTTAGTTTTTAAACTATTTTAAAATATACTATGATTTTATATGTATATTTCCTATAGATAGACTCTTTAAGAAGTATTTATAATGTTTCTAATACGAAGTCACTCAGCTCTAGTGCATTATAGCAGGTGCTTTGTAATCTGGAATGGAGAGGAGGTGGGGGCATTTGGGGATTCCTGTTTACTTGTTCCTGCCACACCTTTTCCGACAGATCTGTCCTGGTAGGTGTTTATTAGCAAGTCAGTATCACCAGCTGTTTGGCACCTTTCTGTTTCTACATTTGAATTCATAATGTTTTCAACTACATTTTTTTTTTTTTTAATGTCTCAGAATTACCTAAATGTTTTGTGGAGTTTTGACTAGTAATCAATCAAAATTATATAAAGTCTTCTCCAGTAATGAAGAAATACATATGCAAATTCTTTCATGATTAAGTAAAAGCAGCTTCAATTACTTTTCTACCCTAAGAAATATATTCTCAGCATTTTCAGTGAGAATTTCTTCTAATGGCACCTCAATTTTATACTCTTAAAAAAAAGAATAATTTGTGACTTACCACCAGAGGGCAATGGCAGTCCTACATTTAAGAATAGAGCTATGCAAACTCTATTAAAAACTGTGAGGAAAACTTATATTAGAACCTTTGATATATACTAAAATACCGATTATCTTAATCACATTTTCCCCAGAGATAAACATTGAGAGAACTAAAGCCATAGTGTCATTTGAGAGAGATATATATGAAAAAGTAATATTAATATGTAGAACTTTACCATTACCAGCCATGGTTGATAGAAAATATTAGTTTCAGAATTATCCTCCTTTAAAAAATAAGAGACTGTCTTCTTTTAATTTCTATGAATAAAAATTTTTTTAAAACTTTTACATTTTAAATATTAGTCAAAATACTTTTTAAGTCCTGAGTGCTTACAGGTAGTTTTAAAAAAATTTTTAAGGCCAGGCATGGTGGCTCACTCCTATAATTCTAGGACCCTGGGAGGTCGAGGCAAGCTGATCGCTTGAGCCCAGGAGTTTAAGACCAGCCTGAGCAGCATAGCAAGACCCCGTCTCTACAAAAAATACAAAAATTAGCTGGGCGTGGTGGCGCACACCTGTCGTCCCAGCTACTGGGGGTGCTGAGGTGGGAGGATCGCTTGAGCCCAGGAGAGTGAGGCTGCGCTGAGCTGAGATTACGCCACTTCACTCCAGCCTGGGCAACAGTGAGACCCTGCCTCAAAAAAAAAAAAAAAAAAAATTTTAAAACACTTTAATTAGAATCTATTTTTATCTATTTTCTAAATTTATTTAAATGCTTAGCAGGGAGCATAAGGAAAAGCCATCGGCCTCCAGTACCCATGATGACAGAGGGAGCACTTGAGCCTTGCTTTCCCTCCTCTTAAATCAGGGCGTGTTCTGAGATTACAAACCACATGATGAAATCATGCTAAGATTCTGACTCTCCCTTTCCGGTGATGTGGCTCATGATTTCTCCTAGCTTCAAGCAACTGTTACTTACCACGAAAAATACAGTTTCCACAGGGCTTTAAAGGATTGAGTTTAGCATGTGTATCATGGGTTATTAAAGTTCACGTGATTCGTGTGAAAATTAACTGTCCTTTTTGCTAGTGCCAAAACAGTGCCTTCTCTGTACACTTTACTTTTTTATAAAGTTATCCCACATGTCCTTAAATATCAAGGGGGAAAGTATGGATATTTGCGTGGCAAGGAATGCCAGCAAAGGTCATTTTCATTTTTTAGTCATATAGATGTGAAAATAAGGTTGCTTGACTTTATGGTTTTGGGGAGATTTTTTTTTTTTCCTTACATGATTGTATTTAAACACTTTAGCCTTCCGGTTTCTGGATTTTGAGAAGCCTGATCTGTTATTGTTGTGGTTGTTGGTGTTTGTAATATTCATTATTGTTTATATATACACAGTTTAGTCTTACTGATTTCAAATGCATTTTGTTATTGCTCAACCCAGTTGGTAACCCTGTTTGCTGGGAGCACTATACTTAACTTTGATTCACCATGGCTGATGCCACTGCCATGATCGCTGGGTCTTAAAGAGCTTTCCCTAGCCACTGACAGCCCGGTGGAGGTCATAGTCAGGGCCCCAGGCTGGTTCCAGGGTCAGGCAGCCTGTAGAGCAT